TTGGCTCTCTCACATCCTGGCTGAGTGCTCTAATCACTGGGCTAACATTTTGGGCCAGGCAGGCAAGATATGGGGGCAAATGCCAGTCTTCCTGTGCTTTGTGGCTCATGCTGGGGCTCATGCGGGAGACAGGCATCTGGACACTTGAAGGGAGGTGGCAGTTTGCATGCCCAAAGGCAGAAACTCAGGTGTCCAGGGAAACTGAACCCTGAAAATGTAGGGACCAAATGAGTTTTGTTTCATACAGCATGAGGTGGCAGCCAAGGAGGAGTTTTGTGGATTGCAGTGGTGCCTAGGAGCCGGACATACCGGCTGCTTCTGGGGAACCCCCGAGGTAAGTGCTGCCCAGAGCCCTTACCCACTCCCACAACCCACCCCCATGCCTCAGCCCTGAGCCCCCTCACACACCCAAATTCCTGCTGCTGCTGGGGGGAGGGGCAGCAGTGCTGAAATAATTTGCATAGTTGGGGTGTCATTGAACAAAACTGTAAACCCTGTAAGTGATGGAAACCACTTCAAGCCAGGGGGTGCAGCACCCCTAGTTCCAGCACCTATGGGGAGGGGTGCAGTGGCCCGAGACTGCCTTAGCAGTGTCTGGTGTGGCTGGCCTGGGGGCTGCCTGAGCTGCTCAGGTGGCCCCCAAGCCACCTGCACCTGCCGCTGCAGAAGTCCCAGAGGTCCAGAAAGTCACAGAATCCGTGACTTCCGTGATCTCCGTGACCGACTCGCAGCCTTAGTTATAATCAAGTGGAATCAATGGAGCAATGACCTGATACGTGAGCTTTACAGACCTCAGTGTTCTGTCTTTCTGCTTTAGAGTCTGTAGTTAAAGTGGCCCCACAAAGCATAGGGGTAAAAGCATATGAGCAGTGGCATTTTATTACATCTCCAGTGTGTCATTTGATAAACAGTTATTAATAGTTTGTGCTTCAGCAGCTTCCATCTGAAGGTTGTATCACACGTCACAGGCATCAATGAGTTAAATTTCACAAAAGCCCTGCGAGGGAGGGAGCATTATCTGCATTTTACAGAGGAGGAAACTTAGGCACAAACAAATGAAAGCCAGGCTTTTCAGAGGTGTGTAGCACTCACAACTCCAATGAGATCAATGGAAACTCACAAGTTATTTGCCTGAGGTCCCAGGACTCCTAGTCCTGGCCTGTAATCTTTGTGCAATGGGTCTGCATGATTATTGTTATTGAAAGTCTGCCTCCAGCCACAGATGGCTCATTAGGTTGATGCAATTTAAGGTGGATCAGTTTCCGTAGCTGAGGTACACAAGGCAGTGATGTGGCACTGCATATCACCTCTGACCTTCTTTGACTTCCCTAACCCAATGGATCGGGGATCAATTTTGCAGCTGGGTGAACTGAAGGCAGATTTTCAGTGTGAGATCCAGTGACAGTTCGCCCCACAAGCTCCAGGATTGTAGTCAAGCACCACAATCACTTACCTGTCCTACCTCATTATTGTTATTAACCATGTATTGATATTATAGCTACTTGAGAGCTCCAAGCTTGGGGGCACACTGTGCCAGGAACTATGACCCACATCCTGAAAGGTTTTTAGGCACCCAACTTCTACTGATTTCACTGGGAGTTAGGAGCCTAAACTGCTTTTGGGGATCTGGGCCTAAATAAATATATAAGATGATTTGGGTCCTAAACCAAAGAGCTTAACATTGATGGGCTAATTCATTAGAACTTGGTAAATAAGTCTCTTGATGATGCACAAGAAGAAATAGAATCTAGCTCCCTCTCTGCTGCCTGTGTTTGCTCTGCATGGTAAATGCTCCTACAAAGCAAGACGACAATATCTTTCCACAGAACTGAATACCCTCCGGGAGAAGAGCTGTACAATAAGGTGTCGTTTTTTATGTAGTCACATTTCCTAGTAGAACTACAGTTCAAGTGCAGTAACAGGTATCAGAAAGGATGATTACTTCACCTGCAGGCCAACTCCAGTAGCAGCACTAGGAAATACAAAGGTCACTGTGTTCCCACGCTGAAGGTAAAGTCCTGTGCTCCTCCATGCTGCATCACCTGGCATAAAACACAGAAGACAGGTCTAAACACAGAGCTACTCTTAAACACCTCCTCTGTTTTCCAATATGAAAGGATCAGGAGAATGGCAGGGCCAGTCTGGATGAGGACGGGTCTCCTCTCACTGAATGTCACTGGGGGGTGAAGAGTATTCCATGTCAGATGGAGTAGGGGAGCAGGGGAGGGCTAATACTTCCTGCTGCATTCTCCTAGGAAATTAACTTCTTGTTTATAACATTATCATTTTGCAGACATTGTAACAACTTGATTTGTAAGATATTCTGCTGCTGATGTCAGAGCTGTAAGCAAAAGGGCATGTTACACCCTTCAATCTATTTTTTTTAAAACCTCATTCCTGGGTTCCTGTTCCTTAGCACAAACCAAATGAACTCCCTTGGGCAAAAAACGAAGATCTCCAGTGTAGGGAGGTACGGCAGGAGCGAAGACCTTACTAGTCATCACACACTACCTGCACATTAGATTATATTATACGCACATGCCACTGCAATAACACTCCATGCTTTTCTCTGAATTGAACAGCAGGTGAAGCTCAGTGAGGGATACCAATCAATATATGAAACCTTACACTGTTGCCTCAGAAATGTAAAAACAAGGAGATGTAACAAATATAGATACCCCACAAAGAAGAAAACCAACTTAGAGGGGGATGGATGAAAAGCCTGTTAAATAATGTTTTCAAAGAAACAGAATTACCGTGATTTCCAGTGATTCTCACTCCTGGAGATTAAGAGGCCTATGGGATAGGCCAAAAGAAGAGACAGCATTTTTAACAGAGATATGGGAAGTTGTTGGTGGTTGTTACAGGTGGTTGTTAAAAATGTTACAGGGCAGATTAAGAGAACAGACCATTACCACGGAGGCGTTTTAGTCTGAACAGTAACACTGAACGGGAGGGGTGTGTGTGAGAAACCCAAATTTGATTAGGAAAAAAACTTTGGCCTACATAAAATAAGGGACATCCACATCCCCAAAACAAATGAACAACTTCTCTGGAGGCAGGAGAACTGGGCCTCTCCCCTATATTGGAAATAAGTGTCATGCTAGGGAGGGGAAGCCAGAAGATGTACTTTGATACCCATTTAGACAAATTCTTCTTAGCGAATAGCACTATCCAGTGAATTGGTATCAAATGAAATAAAAAGTTGGGTGGACTTTCTAAGGGTTTTAGTCTGCTGCAAGTAGCATCCCAGGACCTTTTAAATCTAGTATATGAAAAAGCATTTCTCCAGCAATGGTATGCAGGCATGGGACGAATGTGGGCAGGCTAATAGGCTCAATAAGGTGACCTTCAAATACCACCTTGGAGAGAAATATAGGACTGTGGGGAAAAAGTAGTTCATCCTGGACAAATTCAAGATAATATAGCTTGACTAAAACATGCATTTATTGAAAAGCAGTAGTTCCAGTGATGATAGACATAATTAGACGTGAGCTTGCAATGTTATGCCTCAGCAAAACGGCAAATGTGAATTTTGGGGCTACATGGGCAGAGGTTTAATTATATTGTAAAATATGAGGTAAAGGTCTCTATGCTTTTCTGGAGACTGCACCAGAAATACTGGATTCAGTATTGGGCACCTCTGTTCCATTAAGATATCAATAAAATACAGGGAATATAGAGAAACACAACAGGAATGATTAAGGCATTGCTTAATTTGTGCCAGGGCATGCCAAGGCTGAGCCCGGGCACCTCTGGGCTTGCTGCATCAGTTATGAATGTAAAAAAATTGCTTGAGCCCCAGCCCCTAATTGCTTGAACCCCATAACCTTTCATTGCAAACTGAACTCTGGATTAAGGGGCTGGAGGGATTTGCTGATGAAGATTAGGAAGGAAATGGGCAAAGTGAAATCCTGTCCCGGTGGCAAAACTCATTGATTTGAGTTGGGCCAGGATTTTACCCATCCAGTTTAGCAAATGATGCCCAAATGAAGGGAGAAGGGGCTTTCTTTGAAATAGAGCTGATCAAAACCAGGGTAAAATAGGGAAACTTTTGCAGATTTTCATCAAATTGGTCAGAAAATAGAGGAGAAAGACCAGCCAATTGTTGTTCTTGACTTTAGTTGAAAAAAATTGTTGACAAAAAATTCCTGAAAAGTTCTAATTCGAAAGCTGTAAACACTGAGGAGAGCAATTGTTTGGGGTGTTCCAAAGGGGTGTAATTAGCAGTAAAGGGATGAGGCTGATGAAAGTAAATTAAGGCTGAATGTTTAGAAATGTTTCCTGATGGTGAGGTGTATTAGATCATGGATCAGAGAAATTACAGAAGTCCCATCACTCAAATAATTTAAAACTGGACTAGATAAAAATGGAGAATTGACTTTAGGGGAAAGCCTAAGCTGGGTCCTGAAGCAGAAGCTAAATGTAACCCAAAAGGAGCCTTTCCATCTCTAGCAGCTCTGTTCTGCACACAATGTTACAGGTGTGATCTATGTGATCAGGGCTATGGAGAGTTGTACACTGTTATACCCGTGTTCTACAGGGCATTCCATGTTGAAACGGGGGAGAGGAGATTAGTGAGGAAGGACAGATTCTCTCACCTGTGTTTGTGCAGTTGATTTCCACAGTGATGCTAGGGACTGTGGGGAGTTCACAGAGTGCTAGCCTCGCACAGTCGGACATGGTTTGGCATAATGCTGTAGCCACATGAAGCAGCACGACCTCCTTGGAGTGCCTCTTGACTGGGTGTTCCTTGCTCACCAGTGGGATCCCATTGCTCTGCACCATCTCGTACAGGATGTGGTACAATGAGGTGTAGACGTGGCCATTTTTGACTGGGATCTGAAGGACTTTGGCGCAGTCCTGGCTGAGTTTCTGAAGCCAGCCTGTCACTGGGGGCTGCAGTTCCTCCTTCTTGTCTAGGTGCTGCTGGAACTGAGCGAGTGCCCTGCGGAAGTGGTAATGTCCCTGCTGCTCTTCGGGTCGTAATGCTGGGTACTTGCCTACCTCCATGGTTTCCCCCAGGATGCTGATCCCGAATCCATTGAGGATTTTGTTGCCAGGATATTCAGCCAGAACGTTTTGGCCCTTATTCTGAGAAGCCCACCACCAAGCCTGACCTCCAATCAGCAGGCCCCCTCCTTCTGCCACAAATTCATGGATCTTCTTGGCTTCGTTGTCACTGTAGGACTGGCAGCAGTAGATGCTGAGATTGTCGGTAAGCTCTGAAATCTCACATACCACCTGCCTTTGAGTCAGCAGGTCATGAAGGGCCTTCAGATTGGGATTGATGCCAATTCTCCCTTTCTTTTCAGCACCCAGCCATTGAATGGCATTGAGGATGAAGTCTGTGAGCTTCGGGGTGCTAAGAAGGACCTCATGTGTAGCCACCACCACACGACCCTGGCCATAGTGAGATGCTGCAAGAAAGCATTGATAGGCGTTGTCCAAGCCAAGGGGGAAGGCCAATGTGCCATGGACCAGCAGGTGAGAGGGGACACCATCTGTCACTATGTCTAGCTCTGACACACCTCTTAGGAGAAGGTTTAAGTCTCTGCTGAAATCTAGCCCATGCCTGCAAAACCAAGAGATGTTCCTGTCATGCCACATGCCAGCACTGTCACAGCATCATGAGATGGAAGAGGGAGATTGTGTAGTATCTCTGCTCTGCCATATCCAAATATTCTGAAATCTCTTCTACAAAGATCTCTTCACTTTGAGATCTACTGATGGAAACTTCTAGGCATTATTATTAGTTGCCTTTACCTGAGAGACAGTGCTATTCCTTTAGTTGCAATTGTTCTGAATAATCATTTTAAAGCAGGGGTTCTCAAACTTCATTTCACCGTGGTCCCCTTCTGACAACAAAAATTACGACACGACCTGAAAAGGTGGGACCATAGCCCGAGCCCTGCAGCCCCAGGTGTGTTGGGGGGCAAAGCTGAAATCCAAAGTCCAAGCCCCGCCACCCCAGGCTGAAGCCATTGAGCTCTGGCCCCGGATGGCGGGGCTCAGGCTTTGGCTTCAGCCCCGGGCGGTAGGGCTCGACCTTCAGCCTGGGGACCCCATTAAAACAGGATTGCAACCCACTTTGTCTCCTGACCCACAGTGTGAGAACCATTATTCTAAAGCAAAGTGAGCCTCTTATCCTCTTACCTTGCACGGTTCTGTGGCAATTTCATGTCACTTTTTCTTATCCCTTTATCCTACGTGATGTGGCTTGGCAAAACCAGTGCAACAGAGGGTAAGGAGATGAGAATGAGAGATACAGAACAGAGTAAGGGGATTCATGTAGAGAGATGAAATACCGGATGGCAGAGCAGAGGATAAGGTATGAGGAATATTTGGTATTCATTGGTTCTGAGCTAATTTATATAATCAGAATTTAGAGAATTTCCTTTGCGCAGCAGTAAAGGGCTCACTGTATTTCAGAAAAGTATGTACCAGCATTTTGTCATGTGATCATCCATTCTTTATACGTAAACAGACATTTGTGGAGCACAACTACTTAAAGGTTAATTATTGCTCATGTTTCTATACTAAATCAATATTTCAGATCACAAATAAGCAGCAGGATCCCCGCTTATTGAAATACACACAAAACAAGTTAAAGGATTCACTTATTTGCCTTGTCTCAGGCTTAGAACTTCATTCAGAACATCATAGTCACCAGAAGCAGCACAAACTGCTCTCGCTCCCGTTTTGCTACTTTGGGTGTACTGAGCATGCTCACTCGAACTGAGCATGCCCAGTAACCTTCGTTGTAGCCACTGCCCTCTCTCTGCCCTTACTTCTACTTACGATTTGCTGCCTCCTCTTTGGGGGGGTTTAAAAGGATTAAGGGGGGCAAATCGCAGCGGGGGGCTGTCAGGGTCTGAGCAGGGGGCAGAATTTTACTGGCCTGGGGGGTTCAAGCTACTGTAGCTAGCGTCAGAAGAGGGGCTGAAGGGCAAAAATCGGTGGTGGGGGGTGAGAGCCGGGGTTAAGCCGGGGGGGGGGTGGGGTGGGGAGACACTGCCAGACCCCGTGCGGGTACAAAACCCCCGTTTAGGGAGGGGCAGGGGGGGAACAGTGACCCCGTGGGATGAGCCACCCACTGTGCTCTCTAATCTAGGGGTGTGGAGGGGGCAGAGGCTGTTTTTGTTGTTCTCACAGGGACGCTGCA